AAAACTCACAGGTGTAAAATAAATAATGATTATGATTATGGTAGAGCTATAACAGAGTAACTGTTAAGATGTAAATGTTAAATGTAACAATATATGAACATTATAAATGCTGCTTCAAGTCAGAAAAGTGTTACAGAAAGGGATATTTAAATTACATGTAATCCTCAATGACATTATTCCCCATAAGAATACTTTTAAAGCTGATGGAGAGTGTTGTTGCGTTAGACAATTGTTGGCTACCGAAGAACAGAGTGACCTCGTCCCATTGACACATATCCTCTTTAACCTAAATGAGTACTCATCTGTTGTGGCATGAGTATTACATGGTTGGCTGATCAAACGCTACACAAATCACTCAACCATGTGGCTAATTACGTGAGATCTTAACCTGGATAATCAATGTCATATCAAGGATCATGTGTATGCACATTACTCATCCTGCGGTCAAACTTATCATTATACATTCATAAATTGATTTGATGTGCGTGTGCTATCGTAAGTGTTTACCAACCATATGTATCTTCCTGTTTAACATGTTATGTATACATCTCGTACGTACAACGATAACTTGGAATTCTCTTATGATAAGGTTCAGTCTTATTTAGTAGCAAGAGGCGATCATTCACTTTTTCGTAAAAGTTCAAAGAAATACCATCCATTTTCAAAATAGTTCTCATCTAGTTTTTGTTTGGAAGATAATCCAATTTTCTTGCATACGCCCCTGTTCATATTATGTTGTTCTGCTGTTAAATTACTCTCTCTTTTCTTTTTTTTTTCTTTGCGAAGCTTGGACTTTTACTTCAGCTTTCAATGGGAAAACAACAAAGCAAATACCAATGAACGGAACATTATTTCAAATTCAAATTCAAGATATCTGAGGCAAAGTATAAACGTAAAATAAGAAAAAAAAATCTGAAATAGTGCAAGGACGATACAAGCTTCAGACCAGGTATTTCTGGAGAGTAAGCGTCTTCTGCTTCATCGACAATACCAGCCGTAATAATCTTGGTCTATCAGAGGAAAGTACTATCACGTTCTCAAGTCACAGCATTAAAACATCCGACATTATATCCAGGAATAAAAAAAAAAAAAAAAAAAGACAGAATAGTTTCTAATGAGACCATCGTTATATAATGACCTTAAAACTTCTTCATAATCTCCATCAGTCTGCAACGCTCGAAACCCAGTGTCGTGAATTTGCATGAAATCCGTAATATCGTGAACAAGCTCTTACGAATATCGAATAAACACCATGTACAATTTGTACGTTGGGATTGCAGGACTGTTGCTTTATTCAGAAATGGTAAATTCACAATAAGGAACTTGAAAGCATCACTCTAACAATACTGAATTTTGGAAAGTTGTTGGTTTAGTTGTAGAAGATCAATCGAGCTGATGTAGAAAAGTTTGCCATGATATTTGGTTTCGTATTGTGGTAGATATATACGATGTACATTTGTCACTTAACCACATGTCCTTATACCTGTCATAGGTATGGAACTTTCTGGGGAACAACTGCATGTATCAATAGATAGCTTCACCGTTCTACCTTGCTATTGTACGATATTTAACACTAATTTAGATAATTGATCAAGCTGCTATGCTTTATTTGATATAATCCGTTACCTCAGCTGGGATTCGCAATCTTGCTGTAGAAAGTCATAGCTGTGGCTTCTGCTTGGGTGTTAGAACTTGCAATGGAACTATTTTGTATTTCATACAGTGTAACCAGCGTGTAGTGAAATCCAAGAGACCATCAGTATTTCTTTAAAAAATGGGTTTCATTCCAACCGGTTAGCTTTTGAAAGTTACATCCCTTATTGGTAATGGGTCAGCTGAACACAGTTGTCTTTCATGGTTGATAACATCAGGATTGAATCAACATTGGTCGATGTCACTTGAGTGTCCTGATCAAATGCGTTAAGGTTTGAACTTACCACTTTCACATGCTTCTGAAAGTTTAACCTTTCACTTCAAATTTCATTCAAAATAGCAGGTCTGATGGCAAAATATTTGGCTATGTTTTGCTTTCTTACCCTTCTTTAACTGCTCTAATAATTTCAAAACTAAATTGTTGGCTCTCATGTACACACACCTGAGATATTTCTGTGCAGTCATACCTGACCAGCTAGGTGGATATATTATATTCGGATAAGGTGTGTTGACGAATTAACTATGATGACCGAAAGAGTCGTTCATCAATTATGGGATTTCAAAATCCATTTTATCAAGATCCATTATTTCCTAGAAATTAGAAAGGAACCTTGAAGTGGATTTTGCATGTGTTCATACTAAACGGTTTTCCATTACATATGAAGTCATCATGTACGTAGTTGTATTGTAATCAATGGACAATTCTCCCCCTTTCCCACTACTCAGTTTTTATCGTCGGATATTTCTGTTGAACATTTTTTTATGAAATGTTTAGCCCTAGACGTTGTAATGACACCAGTTGCTATGTAACCGTCACAGTCTATTTCAGTTTTCGACCTGGTGTAAGGTAAAGGACGAACAATATTCTACGCACTGTTCAACATTTTCGACCTTGTCACAGAAGTGTTACTTCCTGCTTTCTTTGTCATCGACCTTGCTCAATAATCTCTAACCTCGGTTTCTAATCTCCGTCTTAATTTAGAATTTTCCACGCAATAACTTCATCCGTTTTGTCCTCGAACTACTTTCGACATTTCATTTTTTTGAAATAACGTCTCTGAGCCTCATTGAAAACTCTGTCGTATCTATATCACACGATATTAGAATAGACAAATGAACTATCAATATCACGTATATTCTCTAGGAATAATAGATGTAAGCTGAATGGTGTTTTAGTTATTAACACGTTTGTTCTGAGACTTCCATTGCTGACTCATATTGATCCGGCGCATTTACCATTACGTTTACAATTTTGTAATCTTGAATAGAAACACGATTTATAGGATTACAAGATGAAACTATGTTTATGAGTGATCTACCAGTAACATAGAAGGACATCACAAAAACAAATATAAATATGACTCAGTAAAGATTCACATCTTGTCCCTCCACCAGATGCATGTAATCTGTATTTCCTCTGCGAACATCTACGGCGTAACAACATGACATGGCCACCTAATCAACGCTTCGTTTAAGATTCATTAGAATGTGGCAGATTCGCAATATACATACAACTTCTAGTGTGCAGTTTTCTCTACATTTCTATTTACGTAGTAAATGAGTTTCCCGACCACGTCGTCAAGAGCATAATTTGTCGCACTTAAAACTCATGAATACATCCATGAATTTGAGATGAAATAATTTTGGTTTATCTATTTTGAGGTTGGTATACGCTTATAAACGGAGGCATCCGTTAACCGTGCAGTCTGTCCAAGGAGATGATTTTTTGTCTTTAAAATACTTGTATATAAATTGAATACTTACCATTCCGTGGGTTTGAGGTAATCATAGGGTGATATGTTTGTACGGCATGTACCTGTGTGTCTGTGTAAGCCAGCAGTCAGGTATGTTTAACAGCCTCTCATACACGCACATTATAGACAACACTGAAACCTCTTATACATCACTCATTAGTTAACGAGTGGAATTTAACATTAAAGGAAGGCGAGTCACGTGACCTTTTTAACAACACTCCTCCACATGCTAATTATCTATTTTTTGTGGCAATGTGATCGAATAATGTTATTTCTAGTAAGCAAGGTGATGTTTTAAATCAATTATAAAAATACTGATATGGATTTTGTTTTACTAACTTTGTATATTGTATATTAGTCCATCAATGGCTTAAGTTTTTGAACCAATCGATTACATTGATGTCGGTATCGTCACCTATTACTGTAGTCAAATTGTATGATGAACCTCATTCATCATTAACCTTATACCGACCTTAGTTGACGTAACCCATTTGATTCAACCATGACACGATTACCCAAAGTTGAATTTGTTGAGAGAAACAAATGTATCAGTTTATCTATGTGAATCACTAATTTGAGTAGAACATTTTCTACTTTTTTTCATGCTTTGAGAGACTTCAAAGACGAAGTGTTGTTATTAAGAAGACCAAGAAAACTGTGACCCTTCCATTGACGACATCAACATGCAATATAGTAAATATTGACATATCAACAGAATATTGATTCCAACATAGAAATCGATGGAACGAGGGCAAAAATGAACAAAAGAAATATTTACATGGAGACCCTAGAAAACATACCAGAACAATGAAATCAGGTGTTTTGGAAAGGTGTGGACTGCCATACTGACGACATCTGGCATGCCAAAAAAAAAACAAAAAAAAACCACCATTGTATTTGGTTACTGGACTTAATGTTAGTTTCTGAAATGAGAACAAAGTTTTAAATCAATGTATCCACCAGTTTTACTTACGAGCATCTAACGGGTTAAACCTTATATCGTCCAAGGTAATTGAACAATTCCTAAAGAGATTATGGCATCAAAAGTTGCAGGTTGATGAAAATGATAGGGAAGCTTTACGGTCGTCATAGTGATCTCATTGATAAATATTGTATTTATGTGTGCGATATGAAACTGGACGTGATCGGTGCTCGTTAGTTTATACGTTGGTTCCGTTGTTTTATACGTTGTTCTTAATTGAGAACCTGACATTATTAACTCGGATTGACCAAATGTATGTGACGGGTGTCGTCAATGAAGCAGAAGATACGTAGTCTTCCGGAACACCTAGTCTTATTCTCCTTGTTCTTTTTCAGAAGCCCTCTTGTAAATCTTTCTCTGTTTCATTCTTTCTTTTGCTCTTTTGTTATTGAATCAGAGTTTGGATTATGATTATGTTTACATGTTGGTATTTTCTTGTAAGTGTTTTTTTATCAGTGTGTTCATTGTGCACTTCACATTGAGATCAATCTTTACTAAGGTGCAGGTTTCAAAGAGTAGCTGCAATTTTGTGTGGTAATGTTGGCGTCCGAATAATCTTACAAACATATATAGATCATGTTTAGCTAACTTTTCGACAGAAAACAAAGACATTTTTCTGAGTTCAGTTTTTATTTGTTGTTTCATTACTGACTCCAAAGCTGAACCACGTATTGCACGTGCAGATGTGGCGACACGTGCCAGTGACACCATCATAGATACGATGACAACCAAGTGAAACACCTTGGTAACGGGCATCAGAGCGAGGTTCCGGTCGAAGACAATCTCTTTAACCAGTGCAAGATGCAATGAACGCATGAGTATGGATTAATGTCTCGATATTTAACAATAAAAATGTCAACGATGACGATGGATTTGATGAAAACAGACGACAAGGTCATCCGTTTCTGACATTTAATCGATGATAAATGATGTGGTATAAATAAAATACGTAAAAATATACACATAACCAAATTAAAATCTCAAAACATAACGTGATGTCTGGAATTTTTACATCTTATAATCCAGAGCATGACTCAATACTGGCGATTAACACACAAAAATGACAAAGATGATGAGTTAATAAAATAATTACATCGACATAAAAACGGCATGAATTTATAACAGATTAACAACGATACAAGTGTCACGGATGTGACGTACCGGATGTGATGTAATGTATCCATCTAGTGATCATGATACACTTTGCAGTGTACTAATGACACATTCCGAAACACAATACTGCGTGTCACTATAATTATATGTAATGATCAGAATGACATAAATAAGCTGTATCATTGAAAATGGTGTACCGTCCCTTATTGCACAAAATGTATGTTCAAATGTGTCACTTAGAATGGACACAAATAATTCCGTGATCTAACATTGTTCTAAACATATTACAACGAAATACGATACATCATGTCTACACTGAATTTAATGTGGCATATGTCGATGACGTACAATTGTAATGCTCATAGCAATGTACACACTTTTATCAGCGCCATATAAATAAAACATGACGTAGTAGGTTTGAGTAATATCTTTTGACTCGAGACAGATAGGTACCTCTATATTGTTCAATTCGCAAGTAGTATGATGATAAGTTACATTAAACATCAGTCGCTCATAAGATAAAGAAGAGCTGAAAATGGTATACAAAAAATGAACCATGACATCCCAACTGCAGCAGTAATGTACCAAAATATATCATCATTTTGAAGTTGGAAAATTAAAGAGTTCTTTCCGTCTCCAAATCCATTACATCTTCCTCAATTTTTAAACCAAGCACTATGAACAATACGTCACTTACTAATATTTACCTAATCTTAAGAGTTTTACAGTGTATATATAAAGATGTATTGTTATTCATTAAAACCTTATCAAATAAATAAATTACAAAGGATATGGGATATTAGTTACACAACGGAACTGATAATTAGTATCAACGAAATTAAATAATTGAAGAGTAGCAAACACGTTATCAATGCAAGTAGATCGTACTTTTCTTGGACATCAGTTTTAATGAATAAATAACTATCCTACTATTTGTACAAAATAGCATTATCACAGCATCAAATGACTTCAAAATGAACCGCAGATATAAATATATATATGTATATGTACATGTCGAGGTTTCCTTTAACAGTGCGTGGTTCACACGCATAAATCTGTACCATAACAACTCATCACTTCCTCTCATAACTACTACAATGGAGTGCGCATATGCAGCAAAGACATCTTTGAAACAAATAACATTACCACAAATGTAGTGAAAGTGTCAGATGAAGCCCGAACTACTGAAAGTATGGCACAACCTATCTATAAGATTCACCGTATCTCGGTGTTCATCACTCACCGCGGTAATGTCCTACGAAAGCTGTTCGGGGTGTGTACAACATATAGGCGTCTGTGAGACAGTGTACACATGGTAATAGTAAATATTGATGGTGGTCACGCCTTTGTAGTCAATGAAGGAAGGTTTTCATCGCCTCGGTGAACAGGGAATGTACTTACTTTACATTAAATAGGTCTACTAGACGCAATGGATAAATTGTATCCTTTGATTGATTAAAGAAATTTCATCTTTTGTCAGCACGTGTTAGATTTGTCAATTAACACAATATTAAAATGATTACATCACAAGATTACTTGTATCGACGGTGACGTCATAAAAGAAACGAGCATCTACTTTGCATGTAATATCCGTGTACGGAGATGACAAGCTTCTGTCATTTGCTAATGCTACTACCCGAATGTCGTATTTTAAAAACTGTGTACCGGAAATAGTTTTCATTAAGTAGATATAACGCTGCTCATACGGGTCACCAGCGATTTATCATTTCCTGTCGTGTCCAACGTTTATCACGTGACCAGCGCACGTTTCAGTATTTGTTATTACTGATCATGATTTGCTCCCATATTTAGTTTTTTTTCTCCAGTGATTGGTAAGTTTTGATCACGTACCAAATTCTTGGTCATCGGGTTCCGGCGCAGGCACAATGTCACTCTTTATCTCGAAGGGTTCGTCGTGCATTTTGCGTACATCGCAAATGTCGAACCACATCTCATACCATTTGCCAACGTATTTTATAGCGTTTCTAATTTGCTTTTTCTGTCTGGGATGAAATAGATAATTTTGCCAAACATGTTCGTCCTTGATGAAATATACTGTTTTGTTTTTGTAGGAGTAATACACAGCGTCCACATTTCCTGTCAAAGGTTCGTCTCCTTCAATGGTCGGGAATTCTTCTACAAACGTCCGTTTCCGGATGCAACAGCCACGGGTTTCCATAGGTTCCTTTGGATCGAACACATAAACCTTCAGGAAAAAAAAGAATGTGTGAATATTTGTATATCTCAACCAAGTAGCACTGCATAACGTGATGATTTTATCTTTCGTAAGCATTCCTTTACCCTTTTATATGAATTTGCTTATCTTAGTATTTTCACGATCATTACAGAAAACTCGAAACTCAAGTGCAGGGCTTTGTTGCTAGTGGCATCCACCCATTCTTCAGAGTGCAGGCGAGACACATATTGGGACATACACGCATGTCTCACATTGACCACTTTAGATTCATCAACTGTGAAAGAATTGCACTCAAGATTCCACTTACCCACTCGCCTTTGAAGAAATAGATATTCCTATCCCTCATATCGAAGAAAACCGAATCCAAATGATCCGGAACGCCTTCAACTCCCTCCTCGCCTGGTTTGGGTCCAAAGTCATCTCGGATTAGTCGCGGCCAGCCATCGTACACCAAGTCAGCCTCACTGTTGTACTTGTAGTAATTCTCGCCTAGAAACATAATATTCGTATCTTGTAGATTAAGCATATAGAACACGGAAATATTTTTTATAAGCTATGTACATATAATTTTTTTTATCCCTATCTGATACTGACGCGTTCCCGGTCATCGCTTTCTACCATGTCGTAGCTAAACGCTAACTACATGGAATTTTACGGAAAGATTTGTTTCATTCGATACAGTAAAATGCTGGACGAGTAATGATGTTAGAATTAAGAAAATATCGCATCGGATATAATTTTTGTTCGATATGCTTCTGATAAAGCGAGCAAAAACTTTTCTGTTTGTTTTAATTGGTTACTAAACGTGAAATTGATATTTCTTCGAAACATACTAACATGGTTGAGATAATTATAAAGCAATGAATAGATTGTTAGTGGGTGGCATACTTAACTAGTTTATCTTTTTCCCTAGTGATAAGCAAAATTAACCAGCATTACATATCCTGTCCAGTAGCGACAAATATTAGACCTGTGTACCAAATAAAACTGTCTGTTCTGCGTCTCATCCAATAAAAGTAATTCAATTGTTCCGTCGAGTTATTTCTAACGCTTTATGGTAATGGATAATGATCTAGAGGAAACCTTATAGTAACTGTGGTAATTTCCTTTTGACACTTTCACAACTTTAGGCACTTTGCATTACATATCAATTACAGACATATATATAGTACTAGTTTAGGGGAGCCAAAACTCAAATTTAGTGTTAATATCCGTAATACTCTGATAACCCGTTTCTATTACTTCCATAAATTCACGCTTTGTGAGTAATTGAGTTTAAACTCATGGAAAGTATCAAGTGATATCGGGAGAAAGCCCCTGAACAGCCTTGGAGCTACGTGCCATACTGGATACAACTGCTATTAATGTGAGCTAGCAGCGACGAAGTTATGTACATGGAGGAACCAATTTTAGTTCGAAAGTGAAAAGAGGGGTGAAGGAGGGGGGTGGGAGGGGGTAGCGATTCTAACCTATATCAGGAATGTGGTGTTGGGTGGGGGGTTAGCGATTCTTACCTACATCAGGGATGTGGGGAAGAGGAGAGAATAATTTAAGGACGCAGTTTATCTTTTTATCTTTTGTTGTTGAAGGCGGGCTTAGGTAAAGCTGAGGGTGGTTTTAGTGTCCGTTTTAGGAACCATACCAAATATCGAATGCGAAAGTCGGGCTTAAGTGATCCAAATACAGAGCAATTTATCCGGTGGATGATTTTAGCTGCAATTAACAGTTAAGTCTACAGACTCTCTAAACAATAGATAGAAACAGTCTATATATCAAACAAGTGGTAGCGTTAAATTGTTCCGACATTTCACGATTTACTCTGTATTTATAAACGTACCAACGTTGTAACTCGACGGATGTGTCGTTGGTAGCATGACCTTGTGACGATAATGTCATTATCGTGTTAATACACGAGCGATCCCACCGATCAAAGAATAGTATAGTGTGTAATTACAACTTTTGTCCCCATCCTCCTCCCATAACCTCTCATACGGCTGTCGTGCATACTAAACAACATCTACATAACGATTATATATTGTGTTCATTCAAGTTGTGGTTAGCTGCAGATTGTTTGTTTTAGATAAAATTACGGTATAATAAGTGACTAATTCGATAGGTCTGTCCATTACTTAGGTGTATCAGAAGACATTTTTTTATGAAGATTTCCAATCAATTCCGAACTTCACTCAATTGCAACTATCAAAATGTACCTAGCAGAAAACCAGGATATACTTTGATTGAACATCAAAATGTTGAATGATGTAAATCCCCTCTACATTCTCCTCAATGTCGACATATTATGAATTATTATAACATGACCTTCTAGATACAAGAGTATTAGTAGTCAAATCATAACGGCACACGAGCTGTCCTTTAGGACAAACATCATACACAACTCGTATGGAACGTCACGGTTATAACGTCGAATGAAACCTTTCCAGCGGTAGCACAAACCTTTTGTTGCAGATGTGTACTACAGAAACTGGTTTAGGTTGAATGATTGTTAGTAGATGTCTGGAATTTTTAATAGGACTTCTGAAAGTTTTTTTGTAAAGACGGAATGTGTCCTTGGAAGATTTACAAGGTTAAACAAGTATTTTAAGTAAATATCCAGTAGTGCTGCAACTCTAAGCAAATTTTACATTTAATTGGAAAGTCGGGATCTGCTTTCAGCATTCATTTTGCCATATGTTTTCAAATTTGAAAGATTTACCTTTAAAGAAGTAAGCATCATCTATGATGACGTTGCCAGCGAAGTACCAGACATGGATGTAGGCGTCGACGTCATCGGGAACACCCTTCCACTCACGTGCAATGTACAGGGGGTCGCCGTAACGCGTGCGGTTGGCATGATTCTCGTACATCCAGTAGTGGTTTTCACGGAAAAAGTATGTGTTGAAGATGAACTGGTTGTCTGGTCGCTTCCGTACCCAGTCGAACACCGCACTGAACCGGCCCTTACAAACACCTGTGAAGGGAGGCAAGCAATTAGCAAAATACGTATCGCATACATTAAATTATTTAATAGCACATATGGAGTTATGCCAAACAAAAATTTCTTAACACGTTTCTATTTCGTAAACATAAACTGGCCCGTAAGAATATTACTCGATGGTGTATTTTCTTAAAGTGATTCATTGTTGCTAACAAGCCTACTGAATGATCAATTAGGTGTATTTACTCAATCACTTTTATCCTTTCTAGAAACCGCAGCTTATAAGCATTAATGTCTCAAGAATTACGACATAATACAATAAAAGACGTATGGACTCTAATGTTACAACAGTAATTAGTCTATCTTTGAATCAAAAATAAAGGCAGACAGTGTTGGTATAGCTGGGTAGGTTTTCAGGACGGTATTGTCACGTTTATGTACGTAAGGGCGGACAACAGTAGCACAAGACATGCTGGTTCAAAGAACATTAAATCTGTTTGTCTTCATGCCTACGTCAGTCTCAGATATACACCCTTTTTCGTAAAACTTAAATAGTTCATTGTTACAATTATTCGCCTATAAAGTATCATTTATCCGTCACAAAAATACCATATTGGGTTCCTGTAAGTTTTTTTTTTCGCTTTCGAATCTATAGCATAATCAATTATGTCTGATACTGATGCAGTTGACCATGTCATCAGAAGGGTGTTGAAAGGACAGATCGTGTTAGATTAACTAGAAAAATATCGTCAGAAATGGATTGGACACAACATGTCATATACTAGAATGATCAGTAATGCCAAAGTACGATGAAAGACGCCCCCACCAACCCCCAATGTAAAATTTATATAGCTAGAAAAATAAAAAGTTTCATTAAATCAAAATTAAAACACAACTGATAGATGTATGTTTTTACTGATATTGACAATCTGTAACTGTTACATTTCATTCATTACAGTGTAAAAGCCGTGTGTACGTCTCACTCTCCTCTTATTAAGTAGTGATTGTTGGATAAAAAGCTTATAAACATTCAATCACAACAAAGAGTATGATATATTCAATTCATCGATAATTCAGATATATAGATGTACTTCTGTAAGTGTATGTAATACACGGATATATGCTACCGTACCCACTGTAGAATTTTACATTACAATTAAACACCAGTGTTTTAGAGACTCAGTAGATAATTAAGTCACCATTATCGATAAAAGTCTGAGACAGTACACTGTTAAGGAGGGCTCTGAGACAGTGTACTGTTTAGTAAGGCTCTGAGACAGTATACGGTTTAGGGAGGCTCCGAGACACCGCACAATTTAGGGAGGCTCTGAGACAGTATACTGTTTAGAAAGGCGCTGAGACATTATACTATTTAGGAAGGCTTTGAGACAGTGTACTTTTTAGGAAGGCGCTGAGACATTATACTATTTAGGAAGGCTCTGAGACAGTATACTGTTTAGGAAGGCGCTGAGACAGTATACTGTTTAGGAAGACTCTTAGACCGTGTTCTGATTAGGAAGGCTCTTAGACAGTATATTGTTTAGGAAGGCTCTGAGACAGTATATTGTTTAGGAAGGCTCTGAGACAGTACACTGGTTAGGAAAACTCTGAGACAGTATATTGTTTAGGAAGGCTTTGAGACAGTACACTGGTTAGGAAAGCTCTGAGACAGTATACTGGTTAGGAAGGCTCTGAGACAGTATACAGTTTAGGAAGGCTCTGAGACAGTATATTGGTTAGGAAGGCTCTGAGACAGTATACAGTTTAGGAAGGCTCTGAGACAGTATATTGTTTAGGAAGGCTCTGAGACAGTACACTGGTTAGGAAAGCTCTGAGACAGTATACAGTTAAGGAAGGCTCTGAGACAGTATATTGTTTAGGAAGGCTCTGAGACAGTACACAGGTTAGGAAAGCTCTGAGGCAGTACACTGGTTAGGAAAGCTCTGAGACAGTATATTGTTTAGGAAGGCTCTGAGACAGTACACTGGTTAGGAAAGCTCTGAGACAGTATATTGTTTAGGAAGGCTCTGAGACAGTACACTGGTTAGGAAAGCTCTGAGACAGTGTACTGTTTAAAAGAGATTTGTAATAGTATGGTAGCATATATACTTTATACAGCCTTCATGTCATTTGCTGATGAAGCATTACCGTAAAGCGTCTGTATTTGTTTCCTGTCCTCCCAACCCAACTCGAACTCCTTATCGGAGGAGACGGATTGATAGATTGCGTACATAATAGAATATGGCTTGTCTGTGTGGGTCAGTCCGAGCACGTGACCGATCTCGTGCACCGCCACCCGGAGAAGATAGATGCCATCCTTCTCCATATTGATGGATTCTATAGACTTGTAGTCCTCTTCGTCGTCAAAATGGACGTTTCCACCAATCACAGAATGGGCGATCTCTCCACCATGGCCGTCAAACCTTCGACCGCAGTTCTGATGTGAACCTGCAACGACAGTGTAATAACACCTGTACAGTTACATATCATCATACACTTCAAGAATAACATTGAAAAAGAGCAATAGAATATTACCTAATACGCGTGAAACAGACATGTACAGTATTTCTGGTGGCCAAACACCTCAGACGAACGTTGCAATTTGTCAAATGGGAATCGAAACAGATATGCATATGTTCTGTAACACTTTACTCTGGGATTATATTTTGAAACCATTGGTGTGCGAAACAACGCAATCATATTCAACAACTTAAGTTATGGTAGTTTTCTAAGAAAAAAAAAAGAACAATTGGCCATGTTAGCGTTTATATTATATACGTCGGTAGAAACATCACAACAAAGACCTGTAGCCTCATAGGAATCGTTCCAGGAATCAAATGATTACTAATAGAATATCAAAAACAGATCTACTGAAGAAAAGAGTATACAGTGATGGATCACCCTGACACGTACAGCGGTGTACCTGACCCGCCTCCCGAGAGACGTAACATGCCGGGCGGTCTACGTTTGAATTCCATTTTGGCACCAATACCAAACATCATAGAACAACACACAGCGGCTGTGTGGGGAATACGTCCAATTGTGTTGCACGTACGTTTATAATAAAGGCACATGGTAAGTGTATCTAGCCTTTTGTTAATAGAAAATTGGATTTTGAACCGATACATATGTGTGTATTTGAACTATTTAGGTGAGTTTTTTTGCGCTTATGTGAAAAAGTGTCCTGGATGACTGCGGCTTACAATAACTGGTGTGTGGTTTTATCTGTAAACATGTACATATGCAGTGTACATGGCAGATTTCCCTTTAAGATGATTTTATTTATGTTTGTGAGGACACGGAATTAGCCATGCAATAGACCTGTTGCAAGTAAAAAAAATGATGTAATTTCATGTTGTATTGTTTATAGATGTGTATTGTTGTAGATGGTAACATCCAACGACCTTAGGGCGCATTCTTCCCTATTTACACTGCGCGCGCCCTCGTTTTATTCATTAATAACCACTTGTGCATACTCAGTATCAATGACGAGTGCTTTTGATTCACACATTATGAAGTACAGCATATGCTCACAAACTGCAGGGCAAATCAGACGCTGCATCCATTTACAACTTACTGAAACCTGTATCTTACAATGTATAATCTTTTACTACATCAACATTTATCGTGGACTGGTATCTGCTCTACCAAGTAGACAGGTGCATAGTCGCCGCGGGAAACATCATACTTCTGAAATTGTTCATGAAATTACAATTTGTGTGAAATATAACGAGCATAGATAATGCAATCTGGTAAAGTGTTATTGACCTCTCGCCACGACACCGTCTGAGTCGGCAAGCAAACTCTACCGGTAGAATTAGAAGACAGGGACAGTAATGCCGGAGGTTATTGCGCTACCTCTTGGCTGCACTTTAAAGAGGGCGGTCCTGTAAAGGAGTGAAATACCTGACAGTGTCTGGCAGTGGTGGGTGTAAACAGAGTATAGTGCTTCAATCCGAATTATGAGAACGATGTGAAGGAAGATTCAGGGTCAAACTTAACGTTACTGGCTGGTAGTGCTTTAGTGCTTTTCCTCACATTCCTCCTCACAGGTTACCTTGGTACAGCAAATTTTTAGTGGTAGGTGCTTATTTGAGCCACTGCATATTCACCTTTGTTCCACTTAATATTCATCAAGATGACCATAGTATGCTATTACACAAAAGTCAGCACCACTACCTCGAACGAAGGAAATATAAGAAACTCGTGGCGTGCATATTTTCAATGTTTGTAGAAATATCTTCTCTCCTTTGGACTGCTGAGTATTGAGATCGACTGACCAACTATGAATAGTTTCGTAATCCAATAACTGAATATCTCATATATTTGAATGATTCCCATATAACACTAGGATAACTCAAAAACGTATTACACCTAATTACACGAACCTAATAATACAATGCATAATGGCTATAGGCTAACCATATAACTATATAAGAAAGGTAGCAATTGTTCACAATTGTCAACAACGAGAACAATTTTAGTGCTCGCATCCCATTGTCCTTTCCAAAACTCCTTTTTCAACCAACTGATGAATGACTGCACAAATAATGCTAATTCCTGCAGAAATCAGATGGTAAATGTTGGTTTTCTGTGCATTTTTAAAATGCTTAAGACAGTCCAAATAATTACCAGCAATATTCCCGATGCTCTTTATACAGACAAAGATTAAGAAATACAATCTGCTTTCTCATTCTTTATCTTAAGTCCTTGTGTTTTTCTATCTTTCAAAATAATATTTCTGTGCTTTGTTTTCTTTTCGTCGTGTCTCCCTTGACACCTGTTGATGTTTTTGAAGAAAAAGCGAAAAAAGAATGACATATCCCTTTATCCATTGTTATGGCTTTCAGAGAGAGTCGTGTCCTCTGACAAGACTGTGATATAAGAATATGAAAAAAATGGCTGTTTTAATCCACACGATACCTAACTTGAACCATAACGAACATAACTTAACCTAAATATAAAATATACAGAGCTCCTAGATTCAACAACATGTACATACAAGCTGACCTAGAGTAAGATATATCCACCGTTGATTAAATTTAGTGTACAACGTCTCTCGAACAGCGTATAGATAGGGAATGAAAATCAAAGTACAGGAATGGAGAACTACAACGTCGTAAATTGTGTATGAAGCTAACAACACTGATCTTTGTTCACGTGAGTATACGCCTCTTTCTCGGTAAGTATAAGTTACAATTTACACTTAGTCGTTACATAACTTACTAAATTCATCTTAATTTCATTATTTGTAATAAACTTCAAACCTGACATATCGTTTAATAGAAAACTCTTAACTAAACATACCAGTGCTTCAGACCGACAGCATTCATATTACATCATGAGGATGATAAAATATTTCTAAACTTAAAATTCATAAACTAACATACTCGTGCACTTGTAAACTGTTCCGACATACTTATGTAAACAAAAAATAATCCATGTTGTGGTGCTGTGAATTTTAAATGATTGACGTAAAAATGTCTACGAATCCGAATAAAAAGACCATATACACGTCTTATATAACAGCTAGGTGGGTGTGCACTCTTCCCCATGGTGTCCGCCTAACCTGTACAATGCCACTCGATGGGGGTGTAGACTTCGGAGACTGATACAGGCCATGGCTGAACATCTGTACACACTTATCTTGGCGATCTTGTTGAAATAATAATAATATGTATTGTATCAGAGCTCTTATCTAAGTTTTTCAAACACTCTTTGGAAAGTCATGACAGAAATGTTTTTCTTTCCCATATCCTGTTTTCAGGAGAACCATGTGGAATACTAGACTTATGTGCTGACAAGTTCACGTAACACGTGCACCATGACCTTTCCTGCAAAAGTAGTCCTTGCATACCGCTTATCAATATTTGCCTTGAAATAAGAAAAAGCTAACTACTGATCTTTTCCTGATAATTATGTCTGATTTCAAAACGTTTCTTACGTATAAACAAAAACACAAAGTCATGGGGTTCGTCTATATATTGTATCGTACGAGACCGTACGAGATCACACGAGAAAACATTGTATGGTGTGCGCGCCACCAACCTACATGCATTAGATTACTTAACACATGATGTCTGGGCTTATTACAATCACTGTCAGGCGAGCAGTGTAGCCGACTTTATAGTTCCATCAGTCGTCTTCCATTCATAAATCCTACTTATAAACGCCGTACATTCAATGGTGTGACAACTTAACTATACATCACACCACCAGATAGACTTATGTACATGCTTGTAACGCTTGTAATACCTCTTGGACAATCCGACGGATGTTCACCAGTTGAAATCATGAGATGGTGAAAATATGTCGGTCATGGCTTTGCGACTGTTCTCCTCTCCATGACGTGTCTAACTCTAAACAAGCTTTGCTAAAACAAAAAACGCTCTCCCGAACTCAAATTGCTTATTTCGTCAATCTAAACTCTTAAATTAAGAATGAATGTTATTCATCTCTTGTGTTATAAAAACTACCTTGCTTCCTACAATTCTTGCTTTCTCGGTATTTGACTCTCTTCGTCCACTGAATTCTCGCTTTTCCTGTAAAACACGTTCACAAAATATAACAAATAACGGAAGTATGGAGACGCACGGAAGTTGTAGGAGTGTAACACTACTAGAGTAACAACGATACCATAGTTCAACTCGTAGGCTGATTTTTGGGTTGACTTATGTTATATCTTTAGGGTATGATTGTTCTCGTTCAATAGTTGAAACAGAGATCTTTCTCACTGATCTTCATATATGCACGGTGTAACCTTCAGTGCTGTTTTGGTCAAGTGAAATCCATATACCTGCTCCAAGCGTATAGTATGTATTTGTCAGTACATGCATGCTCCGTAGGCTGATTATAAGAATGCATAGTACAACTTTTCATTTCAAATCCTTATCCACAAAATGACAGAAACACAGTCCGTACCACATAAAACGCAATTTCTGAATGATATAGCTATGTTTTTGGCGCCAAACTTCTCACCAGTAGAGACATCGCACAGCAACGCCAGTAACTATGGTGACAGGGAGGAGGTTGTGAAATCACAAAACACAGTCTGTATTTTTTGTGACAGGAAGGGAGCAGAGAAATCACACAACACTTACAGTGTCAACGGTGACAGGAAAGGATGCTTGACATGTTTGATGATCGTTAGCTTGCGTGTTGGTTACGATGTGTATACCATGTTCTCATTTGAGAACGTAACATTACTTACTTGGATGACCAAGGTTTACATGGGGATTGTCGTCGAAGAAGCAGAAGACGCTTACTCTTCCGGAACATATGATCTTATTCTTCTTGTATTCTCCTTGTTCTTTTTCAAGAGTCTCCGTGAAAATCTGTCTTTGTTCATATTTTGCAATATTTTTATTGAATTTGAGTTTGGATTATGATTATGTTGACGTGATGGTGTTTTCTTATTGTTTTTGTTTTAAACGAAATATACGGCATTA